ATTATTTTCCTACTCGTTTTTCGTTTTGATTCATAATTATGCTGATTCTTCTACCAATTATGCCGACTTTTACATCAGGAAACACCACTCGCCATCTCATATTTCGTGTATTCCTTATATCGCCATAGTTCATGTATTACCTTTATATTCATATTTTATTGTTTTGTCACGTGAGGGGAGACCAACGTATAATTATGTTAAGCTCTCGGAAAAAGGAATATTAAATCCCTTTTGAATTTCACTTATTTACTTTCTATCGTCATTTCATCTTTATCTATGTACTTCTAAACGTATCTTATAACGAGCAATACCTCGTATTCTCCTTGCTTATGCACAGACAATCTCCTTCTGCAATAAATATATACAGGGTGTATCAATATACAGATTACCCAACTTTGGTAGCTCCTAATTTAAAACTCATAACTAAATTGCTTTCATGGTGAAGAGTAATTTATTTTCTGTCTAATGAAGGCGGAATGATTATTGTAATCATCGTAACGAAGAGAACATCATAAATTTTGCTTGTAACAATCATTTCTTTAAAGGGGCACGTTCCCGCCAGTGTAGTTATCGGAACATGCCATCTGCGTAAGAGCCGTATTCTGTTGGTGTCAATAGGCAGCTATAGCGCCGTCCGCCAGCGCGTACGTATTTTGAGCGCCCTCTGGAATACGGGGAACATGCCCCTTTAAGTTTGAGTTTGAGTTTTCTTCTGCCTATTAGTTAATGTAAATAAAGGAGCAATAATATTTTTTTGGAATGAGATAAAACAGACACAATGGCTTTTGACCTACATTGATGCTTCAACCCAAACTTGGTACAAGAGGATTTTGACAATACTATTTTGAAAAGCCTGTTGTTCAGTCATCCTTGGCAGCACATTATGAAAATGGTATAATTAGACAGGGTATTAGGTCTTCTTTACAATACAATATGCTTCAAGGTCACACAGGTTATAACTTTTTAATTAGAAGCTACCAAAGTTGCGTAAAACTTTTTTTTGAACGCACTGTGAATCATTAAATTAATGATTCACAGTGCGTTCAAAAAAATATATATAATACTATATTTTACATACTATATATGTATATTAAATATACATATATAGTATGTAAAATATAGTATTATATATATTTTTTAATTATCATGATTATGTTGTAATTAATGTATAACTTTTAGAAAAGACCTTGAAGAAAAGGAAAAAAATTAAAAAAACCAAGCCGATACAAGTATTTAACAAATTTATACACAAAAAGCCCAACTGTTTAGTTTTCGAATAACTGCATGTTATTCATTTAGCAAATGGATTGTACGATATCTTGTTGCATTTTTTGTAAAGCGCTCTTGGGTATTATACTTTTAATTTGGTAAAAGATACTCAGTATCATCATGATGAGATATATTTTGTAATGGCCTCTAGTTTGTTTTCTCTCTCCCTGTATCCCCATTTTCTCCCCGTCCTTTTCTGTCTCCGTCTGTAATGCCTGTCTGTCGGCCCCTCTCTTTGTGTATGTATGTCAGTCTCTCTGAGGTCCCTCTCCCCTTCTTGTTTCCCCTCCCCTCACCCCTTCTCTTTCCTCCCTATGCATTCTCTCCCCTCCTCCGCCTCCCCCTTCTCTCTCCCCCTCTCTTCCCTTTTCTCCCCTTTTCACACAGTAAACAAAATATTTCTCTTAACTCGGGAGCATTATTTTCGTTCCATACTGTATGGTATCAGCCAGTGGGAAGAAATAAACACTGGAATAAAAAGAGTTCTAAATTTCTCGTAACTTTCCTTTTCTGCCGTTGACTTGCTACTCCCCTTGGATATACAAAGTAACAATCTTCATGCATTATAGTTACAGCCACTTCCGTTTACATTATCAATCGTTAATGTTTGCTGCGTAAAAATCGTGATAATTGCTTGAGAAAGTATTTAATTATTCATATAATTGACTTGCTCCTGCTCCAGTTGTTACAGTAATTTGCTCATAACGCACGTCACCTGACACTATGTTAGACTCAGCACAATGTAAAATTTAAAGAAAAATTCCTTGCATCATTGCATGACGGAGACGTCATTAAATCATGACTTGAAAGGACCTTTGTTTTCTTTAGAGAAAATGAAATAAAAACAGTCTCTTATTATAAAAGAAGAAAATAAAAAAAATAAAAAAAATAGACATGGCATGCAAGGTAGAGTTTAATAATGCGACCTACGACATTTTCAGGGGCTTATTAAAGGATTTTGTAAAAGGGAAGGGGTTACAATTCCGACAAATTTATGACTAGAACAAAACAATAGTAATCATGTTTTGGGGTGTTAATTTACTGAATTTTAATTACTTAAATTAGAAGCCTCAAATGAGAAGGGGATACAACCACATTTCAACGGTTTTAACGGCACGTTTTCTTCTGTTTAAGAAAGAAGCTCTGGCCAAGAGTGCACCCCACCCCCTGCCAGCGCCAATTCTACCTCTGATGTCTCCTGCCCCGAATACGAATTTGTCAGTTTCTCGACTTAGCGAGCGACAATTTTGACAACTTATAAGAGTGACAATGATTTTGTTGTCATCACAATGTTATAAAACAAGATCCCCACCCTACCCGAATAACTTGTAGTCTGCAAGCACAGACCCTAATTTGACACTTTATCACAAATCATAGGCCTTGAGAGAAGCCTAGACCAACTACCTACTAGTTGTGTCAGGAGCAGCTATAGTACATGGCCTATGGTAGTCTTATAGTGCAGACTTTCTTTTACGGCTGACCAGGGTTTGTGCTTGCAGAATAAATAACTTGGGTAGTAGCTGCCCGATTATGAGGTGGCGGTTGCCCGATTGTTGATAATCTGAACCCCTCAGCCCCATCCTCAATCCTGCGCGTCCCCTTCGTCTATAACCCTAGGGTGATAGATTTGGTGATGGAGTGAACCACGACCTACGTTTCTACGTCCTTCGAATTTTTCTAGAATCATTATCAGATGATACGAGAAGGCCTTCAAGAAAAGATCCAATCGATAAATCGACGACGGAGCTCGAGCCTGGAGATCAAAGAAGACACTGTTCATCCATTATCATCATCTTCACTCCACCGCGCTTTCTTGAAACCCCGCATCAGCATGATCAATGAGAGAGAGAGAGGGAGAGAGAGAGAGAGAGAGAGAGAGAGGTGTATGTGTGTGTGGGAAAGAGAGAGAGAGATAGATAGAAAGAGAGATAGAGGCGAGTTGAGAGAGTTGAGAGAGGAAGAGAGTGTGAGATGGAAAGATATAGAGAGGAGAGTTGAGAGAGAGAGAGAGAGTGTGTGAAGAGGTGACACACACAGAGAGAAAGAGAGATAGAGAGAAGAAGAGGTATGTGTGTGTGTGTGTGTGTGTAAGAGAGAGAGAGAGGAGAGTTGACAGAGAGAAGAGGTGACAGAGGCACAGAGAGAGAGAGAGAGAGAGAGAGAGAAAAAGAGAGAGAGAGAGAGAGAGAGAGAGAGAGAGAGATATTGTGCATCATTCACATATTAGTGGTACACGGGAACAAGCGGCGGAATACAAAAATATTTCACCAGGTCTTTTGATTTGCAACAAATAATGAAAGAATATAACGACAAAGAGAAAATTAGACACGTAAAGTTTCTAAGCAATCGAGAGAAAAAAAATCAATACAAATATAACGTGTCAGGATTGTGGCTTTTAATATTATGATATACGTAGTCACGCACACTCTTATTTCATATTTGTTGTTGCTTGACCATTTCCTTTTCAAAGTTCATTTTATGCAATGAATCTTTATCATGAAGGCCATTAACGAAGACAAGAAAACACATCTTTAAAAAAAAAATTACTTTTGTTGGCGGTGGTTTGACTGTCGTTTTGTGTTGCCAAGATCAGATTTGATTGCTGGAGGCTTGTCATCACGTTCGTGAAGTTTAAAATGATAAAAGTTGTTTTTACCTAGATTCAGCTGAGCACATGTTTAATATGAAGAACATTTTATTCAAGCAAATTCTGGCAAAAGTAGCTTAATGTCCTGCTGATTGCCGTTTTACATTACCGGGAGATGGGTTTGAACCAGTACTACTGTTACTCAGTTAAAGGGCAAGTCCACTCCCAAAATAACTTATTTTCAATAGAAGCAGAAAAATCAGACAAACCAAGCAAAAAAGGTTTGAGCAAAGTCGGATAACTGATAAGAAAGTGATGACTTTTTGAAAAAGTATGTAAAATTATGGAACAATGGAAATCACTACACAAAATTGCCAATTTGGTTATCAGTTTGTGACGTCATTGCCTCACTATTTATCAATTGCTTTGTATATTTTATCCCATTAATTTCCCTTTCTATCCTCAAAAACTTGATTTCCCCAAGCCTTAGCCCAGGTCACATGATTTGTATCATATTGAGTGCATGCCATTTCACAAAATTCTGGATGAACTTTGAAGAACTATACTTTTTTTTCTAAATATTGTATATTTTCCATGATTTAGCTGAAAAAAATACTCATAAGTTTCAATATAATTTCGATGCTGGTGTGAGGAAATAAGATTTCTTGGGGGAAATTGGACATTTATATTATCAATATATATTATTGAAAAATAGACCAGTTCACGGTTAGCACATGGCTGTAATGACCCCGAATATCCACAGATCTTTAAAAACATAAAGAGGTCCCACTTTGTACATTTTGAAGGAATCACTCCTACAGTGATGGAGGTGTTACATTAATAGTCTTTGTTTCCCCCTTTTCAAAGAATACTTCCACCTGTGTATCATGGAGTGCACTGCTTGTGCATGAATGAATAATGATTACATTACTTTCATGAGCACGTATCCAGTATTTCGTCTCCGTGTATTTCACAATTTGTTCTGCTATGACCTCTATCTGCTAATGCTCAGACTGCAACCGTGAACTGGCTTGATAGTAGGGCAATGACGTCACAGTGATTTTCAAGGTTTTTCTTATTAGTTATCCGATTTTACTCAATTTTTTTTTATAGATTGGTTTGTTCGATTTTTCTGCTTCTTTTGAAAGTAAATCATTTTTGGAGTGGACTTGTCCTTTAAAATGATAAAGGTTGTTTTTACCTAGATTCAGCTGAGCACATGTTTATTATCAAGAACATTTATTCTAGCATATTCTGGCAAAACTGATGGCCGTTTCACAATGCCGGGAGACGGGTTTGAACCCGTACTACTATTACTCAGTTAAAATGTTTAGTCTACATTATACAGTACATTTTAACAATATACATTGTTGTTTGAAAAGCTTCTACATGGAATTTTGAAAAAAGAGACAATGTCTCTTGAGCATAATTGTATAGCCCTATTCTTCGTGATAATAATTTCTCATCCATACGGTTATGGACCTTCAAGTTGTTACTTCATAAATTAATATCAATGTCTGGTAATTAAATGAAAATCAGTACAATATTAATCAAATGATTTGGTGTTTCTGTTCAGTTGTCAAATGCTACTCGAGTGCTCCCCATAGTCCCCGTTGTAGGATTGTCCGTGCCTTCTGCAGCTGTACCGGACTCCACTCCTGGATCCACCGCTCGGACACGGTTGGCAAATCGACGAATCGCTCTGTCGCAACCGATTGCCTTCGCGACACCGTGCCTGAAATCTCGGTTCCTGAACACGTAAATGAATGGATTGACGCACGAGTTGCAGACGGCTAGGATCACGGAGAAGTGGTAGTACCAGGAGGTAAAGTCGACGTTGGCACCGAGGTTGAAGGCCAAGAAGATGAACTGGTTTGGAGCCCAGCAGATCATGAACGTGATGACGACGACGAGAAGCATCCGCTGGACGTCCTGAACGATCTTGAGCTGCCAAGCTTCCTTCTGCTTTTTGCGATTGCCTTCGTTACCTATATTATATAATATAAGAAATAATGATGATGATGGTGATAATGATGAAGATGGTAGACGTAATGGTGATGGTGATAATGATGATGGTGACGATAATGATGACGATAATGATTACTATGATAAAAATGATGACGATGATAGTAGTGGTGGTGATTGATTTTTGTGTTAGAGAGAGTTGTCGGCAATGCATATCGATAAAAAAGGCAGTGAGTAATTGAAATTATCACCCAGAATTTTTATCTTTTGACGAAATCTACTTTTACAATCATCTTCTAACTTATAAACCAATTTGTCAATATTTCATTACTTTAGTGTGTGAAGAAAAACAGAATCAAAATCATTTGAACACGATTGCAGAGACTTTTAACAAATCAACTGAAGGCAGTTTCAACAAAGCCTCGTCGTTTCTCTTTTGAAATCTGAGAACACCAACATGATAATACATGCAAAAAGCAATTCACACAAGTCATGACCACTATGGGGTTTACATGATTATAGGTCGTTTACATAGATTAGAAAGAGAAAAGGTCCAAACACTGTGCCTTGGGGAACGCCCGACATTCAAATTGAAATTGTCCTTGAGTGGATTTCTTGGAAGTCTTTGCGATCGTGTTTTGGGGAATCTTCATTTCAAATACCTTGAAACCTATTTCCCTCGAGGAGCTTTGCTTGCTTTTTCAGGGTTTGCACCATCCGGGCGTGGCATACGAGGTTCAATGTGATGGGAATGAAGTAGATCAACGAGAAGATATACACCCCTATCACCTGCGATAGAGAAAAGAGAAAAGAAAGAGAGAGAGAGAGAGAGAGAGAGATGGGTAGAGGTAAAGAGAGATAGAGAGGGGGAGAGGGATCGAAGGGTGTGGGTTTGAGAGAGGGGAGGAGAGAGAGAAAGATGGGAGAGAGGTAGGTAGATAGAGAGAGATGGAATGTAAAGGAGAGATTGGAAGGAGAGAGAAAAATAGTTATATTAGGGGAGGAGAGAGAGAGAGAGAGAGATAGGGAAATAGAGAGAGAGAGAGAGAGATAGGGACATAGAGAGAGAGAGAGAGAGAGAGAGAAGAAGATGAATACAAACAAATACATTATTAATTATACATGTTATAGCTATTGAATAGATCTCTAAAATATCAACAACTTTCTCAATCTAAATTTGATGTAACAGGCGTATTTCGAATCGCATATAGTGCATTGATTTTATAAGTAAAATTATCGGAATAACCGATTTCTGATTGGAGTTTAAATTATTAATAAATAATCTCGTCAATAACTTCGTATTCTCAGACGATTCATTTGAAATATTTGGGTATTGCGTCGCCTCTCAAAATTGAAAGAATAAGTTTTAAATTTTATATTTCGAATTAATCAATTTTGATTCCCGAAATTATATTCACGAGGCGGAGAATAATTTTTGTAGATTCTTTCCTGACATCTCCCATCCCCCAAAAGAAATGGGAAGAAAACTAAAACTCACAAACCCCACAGTATTTTTAAACTTCAGTGCAATTGAGAATCGATGAAGACAAGTGTAATTATTTTTAGTGAGCTTAATATGTATATAGTTGATGATTACTAATCAAAGAATAGATTGATTTCGTTATCTATATAATGACTAATAAATGAGAGTTAATAGGAGAAAGTGTAACTAGATCGCATTGGAAATAAGTCTAATTATTTCAAACTCGTGTGAAGATACTGAATGTACTTGACAGGGAGTCATAACAAGCAATAAAATTGTTTTGCAAGCATTTCTGATACGATTTATTTCAAGTTAATAATAATACCTCAGAGCCTTAGATAGAAATTGATTTTCAGGATAAAAAAAAAATTCTTCAGTGGAATGCAGACAAAATTGAATTCTGCGAAACAAATATCGAGGTATTCGGTCGCTCGAAATTAGTTCAGAAATATATTTACTTCCATTATTCATATCACGGACGAATATAAGGAATATGAGAAATTTCATGGGTCTCAAATATCGTTTCATAACCATATGTGGTCATATGGAGTTATAATTGAATAATGCACTTGGCGAATAATGTTTCTTACCGAGAATTGTTACCCTGTACACCTCTGGTATAATTAGCTGCATACCTGTTACAGTACGATTGTTATATTTCTTGCGAATGTAGAAAGAGCATTGAGAATGCCATTAGTGAATGAAGAGTAACACAATAGTGGAATATAATTATTCCATAAATTCAATTAAGTAGTCGGTCCAGTGTTTCAGTGTTTCGTGACCTGATATTGAAGCGGACTTGGAACCATTCCATAAATAGAAATCGAATTGCAAACAATGTCATTTGAGAGAAAAGAAGAGTTGAGGAGGGGGGGGGGGGGGACAGGAGAGAGGTGATAGTGTGCGTGTGAGAGAGATATAAATAAAGAATAATGGAGTGAAAAAATTAGAAAGTGTAATATAATGTGAGAAGGTGACAGTTTGTGTGCCTGTTGAGTGGGCGGGTGTGTGTATGTTAGCGTGTGTGTGTATGTGGTGTGTGTGTGTGTGTGAGAGAGAGAGAGAGAGAGAGAAAAAAGAGCGAGAGAGAGAGAGAGAGAGAAAGAGAGAGCATTGGCATTATGGTAATATCTAACAAACCTTTTGAAGATACAATGTTGGGTAAGGCAGGAACAGGCATGTCCCATCCTCGTAGTCGTAGACGTAGAAGAAAAACGAGTTCGAGATCGCCCCTACCAGCCAGCATCCGATCATGATGACGATGGAATACTTGAGGGAGAACGTCGTCTTGTACTTGATCGGGTGCACGATGGCGAAGTAGCGCTCGAGAGTAATGGAAACGAGACTGTAGACGGAGGCGAAAATGGAGACCCACATTAAGTACTTGGAGACGTAGAACCGGCACATGAGCTCGCCAGCGAACCCCCGAGGGATAGGCGGCGTGAACGGGAACAGGTGGAATGGTATCACCCAAAATGACGTAATGAAATCGGTCACGGCAAGGTGGATGATGAATTGGCTAGTGCGCGTGCGCAATGACGGGACGCGCAAGAGGACGAAGCAGACAAGCGCGTTGCCGCTCATTCCTATCAGGGCGATAAGGCCGTAGATGGTTCGTGCCAGCGAGCTGTTCTCAATGCGACTCACCGACCACCCTAGGCCATCCACATTCGCGGCAGTGCTTTCTCCATCAGGAGACAGCGTTGTAGTCATGCCGACGGTCTCGTTTTGAAGATGTGACTCCATGAAGTGCGACGCGGCCATTTTCCAACATGCGCGTCCACATTCGATTAAGCAGAGTCGTATGCAATTGTATCGTAGGAAATGTTACATTAATAGTGTTTGGTTTCTACTTCTCCGCAAGTATTCCCATGTCAGTTTTCATTGGGCGTGAAATATCATTAATGCATTCTTTTCTATCTAAAAAAAAACACCGAAAACTATGTTACTGCACCAAACTGTCGAATGCTGCTCCTCGATTTTAATGGAATATGAGAAAACAGGAAATTACCAGTGATAGCCTAATTGCACACGCATAATGTCAAAATGTTCGTTCAAATTCTCGAATGCGAGACACCGAAGTGCATTGTCGAACCAATTTGATTCAGTCTGCAATACCGTCGCACCACTTAAATGAGCTATATTTTTAGATGTTGAGTCCACTTTCTCCTACTTGTTGAAAATAAAATGTGATTCGTTTGAGAGCAATTACCCAACCCGCTATGTACGACAAAGCTCCTTCCAGTTATATGTCTGCACGAAATTGAAAAGGCAAGAAAAAAAAAACGGTGCACGAATCAGTTTTTGTGACGTCTAGCCTTGACGGTGATTCTCTAATGAGACTCCGTTCACGGAAACGGTAGAGTATGATGACTCTCTTTCTTCTGAAGACAATACCTTAGAGATGCGATATGGATCGAAAGTGGCTAACATTTACTGGTTGACCTGCAGAAGTTTAATAAAATATAAGAAAGAGAACGAAAGATTAGCAACATGTTCATACTGTACAGAGAAACGTCGTATAAAGAATCATAGTACATAACAAGACATCGTAAAAGGAATGGAGAAACGTCGTATAAAGAATCATAGTACATTACAAGAAATCGTAAAAGGAATGGAGAAACGTCGTATAAAGAATTATAGTACATTACAAGAAATCGTAAAAGGAATAGAGAAACGTCGTATAAAGAATCATAGTACATTAAAAGACATCGTAAAAGGAATGGAGAAACGTCGTATAAAGAATCATAGTACATTACAAGACATCGTAAAAGGAATGGAGAAACGTCGTATAAAGAACTGATTTTGGAGAGGTCAATTGAGATGACAGCTGGCCAATCACCAGTATGCGCTCACAATAAGCCCCGCCCAGTTATACGATTTTCGTACCAAGTGGGTTCTTGTAGAGCGCTCATGTCTGTCAGATTTGACACTCATCATGATCACCCTGGCTTTAGCATGCATGGCTGCCATTATGCCATTATGGCATTTCAAGGAATTAATTATTGCCAGGTACCCATTTACCTCACTTGGGTGGAGCGTGGCAACTGTAGATTAATGTATTGCCAAAGGAAATCAGTACCGCGGCGGGACTCGAGCCGCGAACCGTGCGATCTACTAGACCACGACACCTCCACATAATAGGTTCAGACTATATAGCGGGAACTTGTTTCTTTATCGAGTTTTTGTTCGAAACGATGCTCAAACAGCAGACGTTTCCTATACGACGTTCCGTTAATACGACGTTTCTTTACACGACGCTTCTTTATACGGCGTTCAGACTAGGAAACATTTTTTTTTTTAAATATATCGTATAGCTGTACGAGACTAGTATATAGCTATAACATGAAATCTTGTAGTCTGAACGAAGGGGTAGAGCGTGTACAGATGGATCAGTAGGTGTTCTTGACCTTCTCGTGGGGTTGATGTTATCAGTGATATTATTGTGATGTTATCTGGGCATGCAGGTTTTCTTTGGGGGCAAATTATGCACAGATATATTATTAGTCAGGATTTGGCCTTCCATTGCAATAAACAGGATCCACGGGAGGATTCTAAAACAGAGAAGGCCAATGATGGAACGTCAATGTACTTTGAAGAATGATAATACGGTGAATCAGAAAGAGAAAGTGAGAGAGAGAGAGAGAGAGAGAGAGGTGTTACAAGAGGGAGAGAGGGGAGAAAGAAGATTAGATGAGAAGGGTGAGAGGGGAAGGAAAGATAGGGAGGGAGTGCGAGAGAGAGAGAGCGAAAGTCTGAGAGAGAGAGAGAGAGAGAGCGCGCGAGAAGGAGAGATAGAGAGAGAGGGAGAGAGAGGGAGAGACAGCGAAAGTCTGAGAGAGAAAGAGAGAGAGAGAGAGAGAGAGAGAGAGAGAGAGATACGTAGAAAGGAAAAAACAGAATGAGAGGGGGAAAGAGAGAGAGAGAGAGAGAGATCTCCCAGGGCCTGAGGAAGAAAGGGAGAGGGAAATGGAATAGGAGAGGAAGATAAATTTCCCTCAACCATGGGAGGAGGGGGAAGGGGGGGGGGGGGTGGTTACCGGTCGGTCTATGCTTTCAATCTAGTTGTTTTGTAGCACCACCTTACGTCACTGATTACAGGCATACACATGTTAATAATATTGTTCGAAGCAATTCAAATGATCTGATTTCGCAAAAATTACCAACATAAATAAAAAGGTAACCAGTCGCACGAACATTTGAAATTGAACATCTGCTAAATTTAGACCGCAATCTTATTACATCTTACACATAAAAGACAACACGAATATGGACGAGAAAATGTTCAGATATTTCTGATATGGAACAGAAATAATATGATTGAAACTAAATTATGAGTGACCTCATTAAATTGATAAATAAATGAATAAATAAATAAATCAGTAGATTAGTAAAGACTAAAGAAAGTGTGTCAGATGAGATACAAGTAATGACAACTATAGCAATGGGTATCTGCCGCCGGTGATTTACTTATTGATTCATTCGAAATATTACAAAACATATCATTAAAGATAAACTTTAGTACTGGTAATGCGATTGCATTGTGAAAGAAAAGGTGTGGAAAGGATCAGAAACAGTTGATAATGTAGCATGTAAGTATTGGTGAGCACTGCAAGGTTCTGGAGTCATCAAAATCATAATAAATTTGACCGAGTCTTGGTAAAGTAACAAGCACTCACATAGAAAGCTATATATGGGACAACACACATGGTGTCGAGGCTAGTACTACCTTGATTTCCTTGTCTTTCTATGCTCATTACTCAGCCAGTATACATTTTCTTCCAAAACTGTTTGGCACATGTCATTTATTTGTAATCTTGAACATTCAGTGTAAGTTTCGTTTGATTCTGTGAGAATTAATTTTTATTTTTTTACCAGTACTGGAGTTTATCTTTAACATACAAAATAACATAAGCCTATTTCCCCGAAATAAACTAGGACTTGTAAATATTAATGTGCCATAGCGAGCTTCATTTTTCATTCTAGAAAACGCTCCGGTGGTCTAGATAATGATTGCATTCTCCGTTGCTATGGTAATCACTTGTACCTCATGAAATGTAAACAATTTAAAATAAAATGAATGGTGTTTATGAAAAGTAATTATTTTTACAGAATGGCATATGTCCTCAAAATTTTCAATTAATTCAATATTATTGCTGCACAGTGCACACACATGGGAAGCTTTTAATTTACAAGAAACGACCTCGTTCGAAGGTTTGCTTCTTAGAAAGATGCACGTAATCCCCCCCCCCCACCTTTTTAAAACTATTTTTAAACATAATTAGGCCTACCTAATTACTCACGAGTTAATATCCCCTCCTCTCTTTTTTTTTTAGATAAACAGGAACTTGCTGAATATCCACCTTTCTATATATAGAGTTACATTCAACATTACCCCTATAATGCAACCCCAAAAAGGAAACAATTATGAACCTCTATGTATAAAATATAAAAACAAACAAAACAAAGCAAAACGAATCAAAACAGACAAACAAAGAGCAAAATACAAGGAAAGGGACTATAGTAAATTCTCCTCATTTAAGCAATTTCAAGAAACCACTTTCAAAGTAGACTTATTTAGGCCTTTTAAGGAGGTGTTTGAACGATGGTGAAATACGTTCATTCCATTTAAAACCGGGAAGAAGAAGAAGAAAATAAGAGGAGGAAGAAGAAGAAGGAGAACAAGGAAAAAGAAGGAGGAGGAAGAAAAAAAGAAGGTGAAGATGAAGAAGAAGAAAATAAAAAAGATGAAAAAGATGATGATGGTGATGAAGAAAAGTCGTTATTCGGAGTCATGTGTACTTATTTTGATAACACATTGGGAGACTGAATAGGATATATATATTTTCTTCATCGATGAGGTTTCGCTACAGAGCGGCATATCTGATATCGATCAGACTGTTATGAAAGTTTGAGTGTATTAACAAAGACTTTCATATTACTCAGAAGATGCGCTACATGCAGGGGCGTACGCAGGGGGGGGGGGGGGGGGGGGTTGGTGGGGGGGTTAAACCCCCCTTTTGGTATTTTTATGTGTGTAAACCCCCCTAAAAAAACCTAACCTCCCCCCTTTGGTTTTTTTCTTTTCGGGAGCAATATATTTTGGGCCCGATTTTAACCCCCCCCCCCCCTTGAAAAAATCCTGCGTACGCCTCTGGTTACATGCATTGTATTCATGTCAGTATTCTTTAATAAAAATGGCGTGGATTTGATTTCAAGTGGAATGAGAAAACTGTGCAAAAAATATAGGCTTTCTATTGTGGTAGCGCCGAGGTAAAGGGAAGGGGGGGGGGAGGGTTTTTTTTAATCTGAAAGTCATATTACCAATATTCAAAACGAAGACTGTGGTATTATTTTAGATTCACGCTTCATTTCAGTATTCTATACAAATTCTTTGGATACGCGGGTATCAAATTTCATGAGACGAGAAATATTCTCTGCTAAATCACAAAATCGATTAGGCCTACCTTCATTTGACAACGTTTTATCAGCTCTTAAAATAATGTTCATATGAAATGAAAACTTGCATAATATCAAACAAAACTTAAAGAGAAATGGTTCCATATAAGAAAAAGTTTTGAGAGTTTTGACAGCGTGACAACATGGAAAGATCACACATTTCATTGTGTATTTTCTAACATGCTATGTTACTATATTGAAATATCCATTCTTTCATTTTTGTTATCTCTCTGCCACGTAATTTTAGGTCTTGATGGTTATGATAATTGTTTAGCCTTACACACTCAATTACGAAAGCTTCCCTAAATGAACAAAATTGAAGTGGCAGCACCAAGGGGACGGCAAGGGGACATTGGCCCTATCGAGCCCTCAACATGCCCCCTCCCCATTTTCAGAATTATGTTTTTTTAGTCGAATGGCAGATCTGCAAAATGTCTTAAAGTTTATCTGTACTAGTTTACAGGAGGGATTAGACTGCCCTGCAATGTCACTTGACCGGTGGTTATCTCATCAACTCAGCTCTCAGTTAACATAAGAAAAAGAGGATCATGGGGGATCAATGGTCACCGATTAGGCATTGTTTGTTATATAGAGGGCGCAAGTAGCTACAGGTAGGACAGTGGGGCTTTAACTAAGCAAACACCGTAGACGAGTTATTGCGCAGTCTTTATATGGAAAACAGAAGATCTCAAATACGTACCGGAAAATATACGTTGAAAACGAAATTTTCAAAAAAATCTGTTATTCCAAAACTAGTAAAGTTTGTTTAATCATAATCTTGTCGATGTTTTTTTGTTTTAATTGATGTGTAAAAAAATATGTTATGGTAGTGAGCACATTTTTTTTTTTTGATCCTCAAAAAAATTTCAATTTGCACCCCCCCCCCTTGAGCGCCAGGGGGGGGGGGGGGCCCAACCCCCCAAAAAGGTAAAAATCACGTGATTTTACATGATTTTTTTCTCAAGGGGGGGG